CTGAAATGTGATTATCCTTAGATTTTCTGGTTTGGCATAGTCCTGAATTAAGGTTTTTGTCTAAGTTTATGTTTTAATGTTATTTGATTCTTTCAATCTGGTGTGATCCAATATTTTAGTTTGAACTATGTGGAGAATAGTGCACTGAAATGTACTATATAATGTACAACAAAACAATTCATATGTTCTACCATTATAGAGTACATAATCTGTGCAAAATGTACATTATCTGTATGTATGGAGGGTCTACAAATATGCTGTTCAACATTCAGTATAATTTTTTGAACAACAACAAGGAAATTAAACAAGCAGAAGAAAGTGATTTCTAAGTTTAATGCTGGTATGGCTTTTCTACAAGAAAACTAATTGAAACGTTAATTGAGTCTGGGATGACAATGTAATTAATAACAATGTAAAAGATACATCAACAAGTTGGTTGCAATTTGAACCCCTAAGCAACTTTTTTTTTGCCTAGTTCAACAGGTGATAACTGATCCTGATGGTCACTTGATTTTAGTTAGGAAATACACTGGTAAAGATATCATTATGATTAATATATACAGGCCAAATAATGATTCTTTGCCATGCTTTATTGTTTTAACAGATTGGCCCATGAGCACTAGATTATGGAATGGGAAACTTTAATGATATTTGAGATCCTCTGTTGGATCAGAGTATGCTACCTCTCAACACTGGTGAGGCTTACACTTCAGGTTTTTTATGGAAGAATTTGGCTTGATGAATGCTTAGAGAATGTTGCATCCTGGTGTGACTGCATGAGACAGTTATTTTACCAGTTTATCAGAACTGCTTTTGAATTTATTTATTTGGTCTTTACATCATCTTTGATAAAGCATTCAAACATTGCTTGGAGTTGCAATTTTCCAATTTGTCTGTTCCAGGGTTTTTAATGTTTTACTTTATATTGATGAGGTGCTTAAAAAACAGATTTCAGCTAAGTTTCATGAATATTTCAAAAATTATAAGGGTAATATTGATTCCGGTGCTACTGAGAAATCAACAAAGTGTTTATGTGGGAATGAATTAATCCTTATATTTCATATATGAAATATTAGAAATTGCAATAAATATTACTAAATGAGTTATAAGTGCTCATAACCCATTTTATAATTTCTCTATCTACTCAGCTCTGTGAAGAGTTACATAATGTTGAATGCAAATTTCACAGGGTGCAGAATTCTCTTTAACTTGTTTATGACATGCTTTATTGGAAGAATAGGAAACATCCTAGTAAGATTTTGGCAGACAGTCTTAAACAGTAGAAACTCCAAACTGTAATTAACATGATTAAACATGAGAATGATAAAATATACAGCTTTCCTGCTGATATAAATTTACAATTTTAAAGTTTTGTTTAGATCTGTACAGTGGGAATAGTAGCATACTGGAACATGATATGGATGCATTTTCTACCCAGATTACTTTTCCATGTGTAGTTTCTCTTGTACAAGCAAAGGGAACTATGAATCAATTATGAATAAAACTACAGAGAAATCACCTGATCCAGGCAAGTCTCTGATCTTTGGAAAGGTATAAAACCTTTCTTTTCTTGCTTCTTAGTTCCCAAAGTACTTCAGGTATATGTCCTTATTTTTTTAATCAGGCCTGTTGTCTGCAGCATTAAACAAGGGCTATATTATATAGATTTCCAAACCTAGTAAGGATCATGCTTATTGCACCAACTATCAACCCATCTTATTAATTAACATTGATATGAAAACACTGGTTCAATTTTAGCCAAAAGATTACAAGAGGTTATTATAATGCTTTTAACCAGGTCAAGGAAGATATATTAAAGATAGATAGGCAACTGATAATGTCAGGTCACTGGTTGACTTAATTGTCCTAAACTCTTGTAGACTTGATCAGGCTGCAACTGTTTCTTTGTATTACCTATATAGGAATATCAGCTCCTAGAGATAGAGTACAAATGATTAAATTTGAGTATGTTGATCGATGAGATCTCAAGGGACATCTACTGACACCTATCTTGAAAGTTTAATCTATGGGGAAGGGTAATACATTTAAAATGAATGTAATACTTCTGATTGTTTATGTTTTATATGGCATTACTCAATTTATATCCATCAAGTATTTCCAGAAGTTTAATGTTTTGTTTTGTATTTTTATGCAGCTCTACTCCATCACAAATATCCTTGAACAGATACAACTTTCCATCAAAGAGAGTGGTTTGGCCTCCCTGATCTTTCCTTACAGACTTACACCATCAAGCATTTTGTTGATTTGCATGAGATTTTGATTTTTTCCACATAGATTTCTTGGATGAATGGCTATATATACAATTGAAACATTTGTTAGAATCTAGGTTTGGTTCTACTGCCTTTACATCTTGAGAGGCGCCTGCATTATTGGAAGTTCTGAATGAGGTGGAACACCTATATCATCCTACACTTTGTGTGTATGAAGATTTTATTATTGATGAATAAATATGATATACAGGTACTCAACCAAGAATGGGATAAAGAACTAGAATATTCCATTTTTCTCAATCAGTGTAGTGCTTCACAGTAATCTATTTCAGAAGGGGTTATAGATTTTAGGCTATACTTAACCCAGTAAAACCTAATATTTTTAATATGACTCAACATCTCTTTGGTAAGGGTTTAATTAAATATAGTCAATTGTTGGAGGTATGATTCTGCTCACGCCTCTCTTCTTCATATGTTCTGGCAATGCCCAATGGCAGCTTTCTTCTGTGAGGAGGTAATAATTTGGATAAATCTTGCAATGCAAGATTATTTAATATTTAAGGATATATATGTTCTTTTGAATTACCTACCTTGTCTCTTGTAATTTAACACAAGGTCAATGAAAAAGGGCCTTGTGTTTAATTAGCTAAAAACTTTCAATTTTTGAATGGGTGGCCTTTAGGTATAAACTACAGATGGATAAATATAGATTTAAGACTATTGTAAAAAATCTAAGATAGTAGCATTTTTCTTTAATCCTAAGCACAATGACAATACTCAAATGTCCATTTGAATGTCCCCACTAGTAGCACTTACAACCTCCACCTCACAAGTTTGACATTAGCAAAAGGAACAGTTTTGAGAACAAAGCAGTGATTATTAATGAGAAAACTCTAGAGGTATAAAAAGATTAATTAAATTTCTGATCAAAACTCTCACACGCTCTCAAGTACTCAAGAGAACTTTTCAGGAACATCTTTTTGAGCAGTGAAGAGATACTGCAGACAAGAATACTGCTACACAGTATTTTGCACTGCAGACTTTCATTCACATTTCATTCTACCCCTTTCTGATGACATGTTTCACACCAATTTAGAAGCCTGTGATTAAAAAAGAAAAAAAACCTTCTCCCTGTCCCTGAATAGTCCATCAAAATTGTGAGAGGAAATGAGAGAAATGAGGCACAGGGAAAGCCCTACTCCTTCCTAACCATCTCTCTCTCTCTTCCTCTGTCTCATGCAAAAAATAAAAAATAAAAGGAAAATTTCCTACTTCATAAATCATTAGTACCAATGAAGGAATGTGATCTGCAGCACATCATTATGCAATATTTGGCACGTCCAAAGTTGTACTTAACGTATTAGCCCTAGCAAGTACAGGAAAGTTATACTGAAGCATCTCACTGAACTATGTATATGTCACTTAAATACACACATCACAGTGTGAGATGGAAATAATAAGTAGCAACAATGAAACTGGGAGAGCCCAACAACCTTAACAGAAGTGAGCTAAATTCTGTTGAAACAGAGGAGTGGTTCTTAATATAACCACTGTTATGAAAATTGTGAAATTGTGAACTGTTGTGAAATATATTAGTATAACAATTGTTTTCATTTCCTTTGGTTATTTTTCCTTACATTTAAAGTGTAAAGGAAGGACATTAACATTTTACAAGTATCAGAACGAAATTTACTACATAATATACCATAATATTAAAATTATATTCTGTGCTTTAATTTCTTCCACAAATATTTCAGATCAAATATTTGTGGCATATTGGGAAAAATTAATGTGGGGTCAATTGCTTATGTGTTCTTTTAGTAACATACTAAATTAGATCACGTTCTATCACAGCTGACCCTATGCATATGAACTATATTTTTCTATTTACTTTTTCTAGAAAACCCATACCAATGCCTCTTACTCACAACTACTTAATTGAACATTCACTCTTGTTTCATTTTCTTCCTTACTGGTCTAGAGTTTGGCTTATCTCTCTCCCTATTCAGTTCTCACAAACTGTCTACTGGGGCTGGATTCAATCACTTGAGCACATTTTTAGAAGGAGAGGACCGAATTCCAAGTATACAAACTTCTTTTACTATTTCCAAAATAGCTATCAACTACTTTAATAATCATATTTTTTCAGAAGAATACTACAAATGGGAGTGTTTATAACATCAGTAAATTTAATCTGCAAAGTATGGATGGGTGTGTTTGTGTGAAATAATAATCCATACTGTGCTATGCAGTTTGGATCTATCACCTGAGGCCTCACAATGTGCCCAACAGACTATTAGGCACATTGTGGGTAGTGGGCCCCTTCCTCCTCCTTGGGTCCTCCCACAGGAATCCCATGGAACACTGCAGGGAAAACAAGTCTCTTCCCACCACCATATCAGGGTTGCTGTGGCCTGACTAGTCATTCATTCATACTTTACATCATTGAAGTCACTTGTGAAAGGACAAAGGAGCTACAGCAGCAAAGGGATTCTGCTGCTCTTGCCAAGCAGTTCTCTAGTAATGCATCCTCATCCATGTTGTGTTATCTAGGTTCAGAGAACTCGTCAAGGGTGAAATAACCCTACAACAAACCATAGGTTGTTAGGGTGGCTTATAAACTAAGCTTAAGCCACTGTAAGTATGACACAACAATCCACTGTGGCTGAGGTGTCATGTCATTCAAATCCAGTCAAAGAACGTAAAGTTTTACACAAAAGATAGACTTCCACATCAAAAATGTCCTGTTTAATAGAAAGGGATGCTTACTGTTCTGGAATCCGAGAAAGGGTTGTATTCATCTAATCCTGGAGGAACATTTCTTGTCACTTGTGTAACTGAAGGATCCTAAAGGAGAGAAAGAGTGCATGATTACAGAAATCTTTTACATGTATGAAAAGCTATGGACTATGCAAGTACTTGTCCTAAAAAATCCACAATTAATACTTTTTAGGGTGTGATCCAACTAAGATCAAAGATCCCTCCTCATCCTGTGCAATTTTTGCCTCCCTGTTCTTCCCATTCTGCATAGTTCCTGGACAGCTGTTTTCAGCTGTCTGCTGAAGACAGGAGAAAAAGAGGCTAAAGAGGACCAAGTTATCACAGCTTTTGTCCACTCCAATCTTTCTTTCACAAGCAAACATCACTGGTGCCTGTGGATTTCCTTGACAACTTGCCTTCCAACAGCTATCAACTGAAACCAACAAGAAAAAACATTTGGAACCTCTTTGGATCAAGGTCTAGGGTTGGTACCTGCTGTACTTTGGCAGCAGGCACCCCCTTCCCCAGGATATTGACCTAGCAGAGGTTTCAAATTTTCACAGAAATGTGTGGCTTTACAGGAATGCACATATGGCTAAACACAGACCAAGAAATATTGAGCAGACCACGGGCTCTGAAAACTTTTTCCATTGTTTGGCAACCAATGACAGCCACTCCAATGTGCTGTTTGGGCACTCCGAAATGACTGTCAGTTGTTGTAATAACTGGAATCACAAAAGCAGGCTATTAAGAGTTAAGGATTTTTTAAAAAAAACTGTGGCAAGTCAAAAATGACTTGTGATCATGGAGGAAAAGAAGAGACAAGTCAGTCCTGCCATCTTGTGGTCCCATGGGGTACGAAAGGGAGGCAAGGGGGAACACTCCACAATGAGCCTGATCATCTGTCACACATGTTGTGGATTGTTTGCAGAACAACTGACTGACTGTTGCTTATCGCCACTGTGAATTGGTATGACTTGCAAGCATAGATATACTGTTCTTTCAATAAAAGCACCAGTAGCACATATACAAATAATTCCTTGCCCACCACTACAATATTGTCACTTTTCTATCTGACTCTATTTGGCATAGAAAGAGAAATATATCTATGTACCTACTCTACCTACTCTGTGGGCCAACTCATTTTAACCCTAATCTTATACTCCCAAGATTAACATGATTTGAGAAATATCCTATCTGTAACACAGATGATTTGAGGAATACTGCTCCTCCTGAGTATGTAAGTAAAAGCACAGTTTTCAGCTGAATAGTATAATTAACTAAAATATAAAACAACTTGTAAAGTTTTAGAAGTTCTGGACAGGCATTATACTCTTCTACTAAACACATGAAGCTCCTGCCTGTCAAAATAGTTATCAAATTCAAATATGTAATATAGAAGATTTATAAAGCTGAACTGTGCTAACATGGAATAAACAGAACACATACAGATCACAGATTATAGGACACAAGAACTGGGGACCCATGGGGGTGGGAATCACAGATAAAACTAAAGGAAGAAATCGCATTCTCCAAAGCCAGTGTTTATTATCATCCCCTGAAATCATTTACAAAGCTCAGAAGTGGGAAAGACACTAGAATCAGAGGAATCATACCTGAGGGAATGTACCTAAAGTATTCAACCCCCTTTAAACCAAATAGTTTGGTCACTTGCATCTTTATTTTATTATCATTTTATGTATTAGACTTGTATCCCCTTCTTTTTCCTTTTTTAAGAAGTCAAAGTTGCTTACATCATTCTCACCGCCCCCCTCCCCGCGCTTTCAATCTTATCCCCAAAACAAAAACACTGTGAGGTAGATTGGGCCGAGAGCCTGTGACTGGCCCAAAGTCCCCCAGTTGACTCCATGGCTAAGTGGATCCTACAACACAGGCTGCCTAACTCAGTCCCACATTCTTAAACACAACAGCTCTCCTAAAACCTTCTAGCCCTGTTTCCTGCTCCAAGTTTAAGTACAGCCCTGCTAGTTTGCAATATTTTGGGGAGAGGAGGAGCTAATTCAACCCCCAATTTTTCTGCAACGGTAACTCCCTCCTCTCTCCAGCACAATTGCAATGCTTTGCAAATAAAGGAAGTGATAGATATGGAATTCCTTCCTTACCAATTCAACCTTTGAAAGTTGATTCTACCAATAATTGTCCACCTAACTAAGGGATGTAGGTACTGTCAGGTTATTCTAACACAGCAATTTCTCCAAGGATACCCAGTAAGCTTAATTAACCTGGGTTTCCCAGCTCCAAATCCACCATGCTAACTACAATACTACACCAGTTCCACATGGTACTGTCATTCAAAATATCCGCCTTGGCACACATATATTTGAATACATTTTCAAATGGAATTTTAATGAGTTCTAACATAAAATAGCATGTTTATTAGAAAATGTTGTGATATGCTTATTGTCCATGTAGGGAAAGAGTCACTGGAATAGTGGATAGTAGTATTTGATTCTTCCTATACTGGACATGGTAACACATTTTCAGGATTAAGCACTTAAACACTTACTGCCTTCCATTATAAAGTGCTTTGCAAAGAAACCTTTGCATAAACATAAAGAAGCTACCAAGGAGAAGTGAACAACTTAGAGCCCTTGAGATGGTTTCGCCTACAATTTTCATCAGCCTTAGCTAGCCTAGCCAGTGGTAAGGAATCATGGAAGTTGACCTACAGATGTTATGTCCTACAAGTTTGACCTCCTCCTTTAAATTCACCTGGCACTGGTTAGATATATATGACTACATCTTAATTCCATCAGTGTAAAATTGAATTTAAGCCACAGTGTGGTCCAGTTGTGGCTGGTAAGCACTGTGTCAGGTGGACCTGGCAAGTGTAACTTACGTGAGGATTAAATAACCATCACATAACCCACAAACAATCTTTGAATAAGCCACCATCACTAGGTTTACATGACACAATAAACCAAAGCAACTGCCCTCTGTGGTTTGAATGTTCAAAAGGACAGCTGGTGTACTCCACAACCTGTCATGGCCTACTTAAGCAACAGTAGGCTGTGGTCACTGACTGAATCTGCTGTAGGAAAATTGCAATAAAAGTTGATCAAGTGATTCACAGATTTCTCTTCAATGCTTTCAAGTGCTATGCATGCTATTTCCTTATGAAAGCTTATACAAGCCTGCTGTATTCATGCATCTTTTATTACTGTTTCCTTATAATATGCAAAATATCTCCTAGTCACATACAATGGCATAATGTTAAAATTTCAAGAGATGCCCTAACAAGAAAGGTTTTGACATTGATTATAGTTACAATGAAAGCATATTAGTCTTCAGTGTTATTTTTAGTGAACAAAAACAAAAGATTCTGTTAAGCTGGCTTTGAAATTTGGACTTCAGCCAGAACTCTGAAGATGCTATTCAACACAGAAGTGATCCATTTGTGAATTATTGTTCTTTTGAAATTAACACAAGACAAAAAGTGTTTTCATGTATTAATGCTGTTAAGAGCAGTTAGAAGAGTTGCATACCATTTTATTGTTTAATAGGCAATGACTAATGCTTTTTTTGCTCAAGCACTTTATACTATATTATACAGAAGACATTTTGAGATGGGTAATGAAATAGATCCTATTAATTAAACACAGCAATGTTGAGGAGTATAGCAGCAAAATTTCAAATCTTAATAAACATCTCAAATGCATTACAATAACGCTAACAACAAATTTAGATTAGGCTAATAACATGCAACTTTTCCAGGTCTATTACTATTACCTTTCACAATTAGGAACAAAAGTGTCTTATACCCGCTCCATATGTAAAAGTACTTTGTATGCCTTGCAGCTTTCACTTAGGTTTCCCAGAGGAAGTAGCAACTGCCAGTGATGAGTGCCTAAATTGCAGAAAGCTCTTGCCTGAGGGGCAGACACTGTGCTTGGTATAAAGCTATATTATCATGGTTCAATGTTCATGTCTTCCTCTTCCACTACTGTTTTAGTGCCTGCAGCCTCTTAATTCTAGAACAGGAAGACCAAGCATGCTCCACATATTGCCTTGCTGAATCAGGCCATCCAATATTTTGTTTCCAAGAGCAGCTACAGTCATAAACTACATAAATGCATGTTCTGAACAGAACCTAACAGAAACATTTCTAGCTACTGACTGTTCCCAAGGATAGTTGGTTCTGGAGGTGACTACAGAGGAAGAGATCCTGAACTTTTACATATAATAAACAAATACTTAACTGACGCAGCATCCAGAATTTGAGGCAACATATCAAATGTTGCTTAACTAATTAGGAACACACACCACAATGCCCTCAAATTTAATGCATATGTAAGTGGACAATTGTCAAGAAATCCAATACAGTTAAATCTAAGTTTGGTCTATGAAGCTGAGAGCAATTATTGGGATAAGCACTCCTCCTGTTCCATTCCTGCACTAGTTCTGATATTTCATTCTTGGCTTTTAGTATGCTAGAGTTCCCCATTATATTGGAACCAATGAACTCTGGCTTAATGTTAGTTGGCAAGAATATTGAAACAGGAACTTTAGCTTAACATAAGCCAGCTATAAAGCTGGGAAATACAGTTTAATCTTGGCCATTATCAAATTTTATAAGGTTAGTATGAAACACTAAGAGCTTTACTCTTACTTACACTGGTCTGATAGGCAACTACATACCACTGTTGTTCTGTATTGCCAAGTCACCTCCAGCTTATGATGACCCTATGAGCAAATGTTCTTCAAAATGTCCTGCCCAACTCATAAACGCAAGGCTATGGATTGCATTATGAAATTGATCCACCTCTTCTGCCTTTCTCTTCTTCTTCAGCCTTCGAATGTCACCAACATGTTGGTCATTTCCAGTCAGTCTTGCCTTATTATGGTATGCCCAAAGTACAACAGCTTCAATTTGGTCCTATTTGCTTTCAACAAAAGTTCTAGATGTATTTGATCTAGGACCAACTTGCTTGTCTTTTGCTTAGTCCAGGTTATTTACAAAGCTCTCCTTTAGTACTGTGTTTCAAATGCATCAATTTTCTTCCTGTCACCTATCTTCACTGTTCAGCTTTCATACCCATACATGGTGACTGGAGATACAATAATAT